TTGAGCTGTAAATCAGCATATTAGAATGATTTCTGAAGGATCATGCCTTCATGCGACACTGAAGACTGGAGTAATGGCTGCTGGAAATTTAGCTTTGTCACCTCAGAAATAAATTACATTTTTAGATATATTAAAATAAAAAATATAAGTACTGTAATATTTCACAATATTGCTTTTCTACTGTATTTTGAAGCAAATAAATGAAGCCTTGGTGAGCATAAGAGAAAAAAATCTTAATCATTCCAAACTTTTGGCCAGTAAAGTAGATACTAGATAATAATTATTATTTAACATCTATGATACTAGGGGTATAATAATGTACTCTCATACAAGCTGAGAAAACAAGGAAACATTATATATCAATCACGAAACAAATTACTTAATAACCAGATTGAGGTCAGATCTTTTAGAATTTGTTGAAATCATCTGTTTTACAATGTCAGTTCCACTAACAATGAGCAAAGAACATTCTTGCTTTCATAAAATGTGTTTTTGCCAAAATTAAAGCCGGGGGTTTTACATCTTGTGGTCATGTTGCACAACATTTGCATGATAATCACCCTGGGAGTTACTCCAGGCCATTTCTCACCTCATAGTTTTATGCCAGAGGTCAAAGCATGGTACAGCGTGGAGACGGACATATTTGTTTCCCCCTGAAGAACATTCCAGGCAGCCGTAGACAGTCTCACGCCTCTGGTGGCCCATTCCACACAAGGCACACGGTCCTTTAGGTATGTTATGGTTGAGCAAATTTACACGTGTGTGTTTTTCATCCCGCAGGTAGGCTGTGGACAGGTCCGTCATGCTGGCAGCCTTCTCATAGTAGTCCGTCACAACATCATCCATGTACATATCAGAGTGAGTGAGCTCTTCAAACGTCCTGTCATCTACAGCAAGCACAAATCAAGTTAAATGTGGAATATTTCTTCAAGATTATTTTAAATATTGCAGATACAGATATGACAACAGAAGTTGTATCACCTGCTCTGAAAGGATTTCCATAGATGATTCCCGACATGAATCTCCTAAGTCTTCCAACGGAAAAGCGGCCAATGAATCCCCCTAGCTGCTCACGGATCTGTTCCCTCTCAAACCCTCCTACTGACTCTGGAGCCACACATATGTCTGACCAAAGTTCAGACAAAGGTCATTAGATAAAGCAATAAACATTTAAAAATCTAAACAGATCTATGAGTGGACTCCATATGTAATACTATAGATATAGATATATAGCCTACTACTGTTCAGAGTTTGGGGTTGGGGTAATGTTTTGAAAAAAAGTCTCTTATGCTCACCAAGGCTGCATTTATTTG